GGCGCATTGTCTACATCTGTGTCTCGGTCATTGGTGAGTGAGTGGAAGCTTGTGGCAGATGTCTCCTCCTGACAAGGACTGGAGTGTTTTGGCATGTCTCTGCAGAGCTGGAAAGGGACGGTGGGCACGCCGGATGCAGGAGAGGGGCTCGGCAGCATAGGGTGCCAGCTGCTGTTGGCAGTGCCAATGGGCACTGGACCTGCTCTGCCCTGAGCAGGGTGCCAAGTGCAGGGCACAGCCAGGGTTTGGGGCACATGGGGGCTGATGTAGGACGTGGGCTCTAAGCCAGGCATGTGCAGGTGGTCATGGGAGCTCCCTGTGACAAATCTGGCCTAGGCTGGCCACAGCGAGGGTGGTCCCCAGCCCCCCGAGAGCACTCGGGCTTGGCCAGTAAGGTTTGATCCATCCATCAATGGCTTCATTGTGCAGCCAGAATGGGGTGGCTCAGCCAGGTGTGGGTAAGTGTCAGAGCTAGGTTTAAGCCCAGCTGAGTGCAGGCTCCCCTTGGCTTGCTGGGCTGGCAAGTTCATCCAGCAAAGTGCTTTCCTGAGGCTTTGGGGTGGGTGTTGGATATAGCGTGTGCTGGACCCGTACCTCACCAAGAGGAATGGGTGCCTCAGCCCAGCCGTTGGTGAGGCTCAGGGTCCCAGGGAGGTCACGTGCCATGCAGCCCCTCAACTGCCCCCTCTCTTGCAGCCACACTGATCACAGTCATCTGCGTAGTTGTCACCCTGAAGGTGACCGCACTGAAGGATGCCAGTGTGGGATGGATCGTGGCCCTGGTGCTGCTTCTTGTGGCTCTGCTCATTCCCACCATCATCGTTTGGAGGCAGCCGCAGAGCAACGCACGGTTGAACTTCAAAGTGAGTGCAGCCTTCAGCAGCTCGGTGTCTGCACCCACATGGACCACTGGCAGGGTCTGGGCCATTGTGGGGTCTGCCAGGGCTCACTGCCAGGTGGTCACCATCCAGGAAAGCCCAGGGCCCTGAGACATGGTTCTCTGAGGTGCAGTCCCTGGTGTGGCAGTGCCTGGGTGCTCTCCGGGTTGTGGCAGGGGTGGGATCCCTCTGTGGCCAGGAGAATCCTTGACTCCAGCAGGGTCCCTCAAGGCACAGCTAACACGGCACCTCTTGCCCCTCACAGGTACCTTTCCTCCCGCTCCTGCCAATCTTCAGCATCTTCGTTAACATCCTGCTGATGGTACAGCTGAGTGCTGGCACCTGGGTGCGGTTTGCCATCTGGATGGCCGTGGGTAGGTGACCTGTGAAGGGCAGCATGGTGCCTGCAGGGTCTCCCCTGGGGGGCTGTTATGCTGGCAGGCCGACACTGAGCATTTCATTGTGGAAACTTTCCTGCAGGTTTTATCATTTACTTCAGCTATGGGATTCGGAACAGCGTGGAAGGGAAAAATGTGGAGGAACCCTGTGCCACAGTAGAAAAGCCTCTGCACCACCCTGGACTGGACCTCGGTCCTGGGGCTGCTGAGGTCTGAGGGAACCAGGCACCGGCACACTGTGGACCTCTGACAGTATTCCCGCTCAGGGACAAGATCATGATCCACACGGTACATCCATCCCCTCTCCCACGGAGAGTGAGTCCCAGAGTCAGGACTGTGGAGCTGGGTCATGTGCTGCCTTTTCCCCTCACAGAGCAGAGGTCATGGAGATGAGTCCCTGAGAGTGCTGGTGGCCCAGGGCTGGTCTCTGCCGTCCCCTCAACCCCACCAAGGGGCAGTGACAATGGCACGGCCCTCCTGCCGTGGAAGCTGCTGTCAGAAATGCTGCTTTCCCTGCTCACAGGAGGCCTCACATGATGGGGCGTCTTGTTCTGGTACTGCAAACAGTCCAGTACTCCCTGGCAGCATAGGGCTTAGCTGGCCAAAGCCCTCTCTGTGCCTGGGATTTGCATCCCATGCTGAGCCCTGTGCTGCCCTGGCCATGCTGCTTCGTGTGAGCACCTAGCTTGGGTGTCCGTGAAGATGTCCACAGTGTAGCTGTACCAGTGTCCAACCTCGTATGCCTTTGTATAATTGGTGTTTTAATGTTGACTTTTGTACCTATTAAACTAAATGTTTTTTAAGTGCTTGGCTCTGTTGGTCTTGCCGCATCTTGTGTTAATGCCCTGTGGCCACAGACGCCCAGGCAGGACCCCACATGCTACCATGCTGGTATGAGGCTGGTGCCAGTACAGAGCAAGGCTCAGCCACAGCTGGCTGTGCTGGGTGAGCTCCCTGCCCAAAACTGCCGGCTGGAGCCTCCAGCCCTCACGCTGTCCCCTGGGACAGTGAGCCAGGAACCACGGAGCAGTGCTCCAAGCCAGCTCAACCCAGCACTGTTGGTACCTGTGGGCAGAACACCAGTCTACCATGGCCCTGTCCTGCAGTCCCTGTGCTACATGAGAGTGTGTCACCAGGTTCCAGAGCAGTGGCTGCAGTAAAGACCTTGGAAATACCTCCTGGAAGCTCCAGCAATGGCCTGCAGAGTAAGCATGGTCAGGAGCTGTGCTGCATCTATGTGAGAAGATGATTTCCCAGATTCTGGTCTGGTCTAAATCAGCCCTGACAGATTATTTTGCAAAATAAACTAATTTAGGGCAGATGGATCTTGCGTGTTTTTGGCATCTCTCCCTATTCACTGGCAGCGGAGGAAGGTCACTGCACGGTCAGTGGCAAGGGCCCCACACCATCAACTCTGCTTGGCCTGGAGCTGTGAGCCCTGCCCCAGGGCTGTGCCTGGACTGAAAGAGGCTGAAGTACTGCTCCTGGCCCCACACCAGGCACTGCCTGCCCCACTGTCCTGGGCCAGGGTGCCCTGCCAGAACCTCAGGCTCCAGCCAACAGGTGCAGCTGGTTCCTCACAGGTGCTTCCAGCTCTCCTGGTCATGCTGTGCTGGGTCCCACCACCCCACCTGGTGGGTATCTTCTGGCAGGGGGCAGCACATGGGGCCCTGCTGAGCCCTCGCTCCCCCTGGCACCCATGCACCCAGGGTGCTGTTGCCCAAGCCTAGCAGGCTGTCCTGGTTTGGCTGGGTTAGAAATTTAGGCCACCCATGCTAGGCAGGCTGTTAGCAGGTTTGAGTCTGCCAGGGCAGCTGACCTGAGTTAACTACAGGTGTAGCCTGTACCATAATGTCATGGTCATTATAAGGGGGGAAGGTTTGCTGAGGGGTGGGAGTTTCTGTGGGGTTCCTTCTGCTCTTCCTCTGGTGCCTCTCTGCTCCTGAGGACTGCTTTCAGGTCAGTTGTGACTGCTGCATGTTCATTTGGATGAGTATAACTTTGTATACCTTTGTTTGTAGTGGTATTACCTCATCAAAATCTGTTCTCCTTTTTGCTGATTCCCCTTTCTGGCTTGTGAGGGGTTGTCAGGTGAGAGAACAACTGTTGTAGTTTAACCCTGGGTACAGGCTAAACAGACACAGGCAGTGGGCCTGTGATACAACTGCAGCCCTCATCCCCTGGCTTGGCAATGCTACAGCCCCTTAGGTCTTTGTTTGTGTCTATGTCCCTGTGCATGTCCATATCCATGGCCATGTGAGGGTCTGTTTGTGCCCATGGATACGTCTGAGCCTGGCTCCTGGCTATCCTGCTGAGCACTGGTATTCCATCCTGGGTACCCGTCGGGACTAGCAGAGCTCCAGGCATAGAGTGGAGTGCTGGAAGCCCTGGGCAGCTCCCACCATGGTAATCTGCCAGGAAAGCAGTTGTCTGGCAGCCATCAGTCCGTGTTGGTGTGGCGCAGTGGGTTGGTGCCATCCTGCTATGGGCATGGATGCTGGTGGAAGTGCAGCAACCCTGTACACCTTTGGGGCTCTGTGCCAGGTGCCCTGGCCTTGGCTGCCTGCCTGGGTGGGGCTGCCTCAGCCCTAGGCACTTACTCTGGGGCGGACCCTGCCTCCCTCTGCCTGCTACCTCCTTCCATCCTATCTGGGCTAGCGGAGCTGCCACAAATGGCACCGCATCCCCCACCGGCCAGTACGCCTGCCTTTCCCAGGCCCCACTGGCATAATACTGTACACTTCTGTGCATCAGTGGGTGAATAACACTCAGTCGGAGCCCTAGTATGTTGTTGGCACAAAGGAGTAACTTTAACTTTTGCCACACCAGTGTGTCGCCTGCTGAGATGCTCTGATATCAATCCAGGGATCCATTGTGCAGAGAGGGGCTGGGAGGGAAGCGCATTCATGAGTGAAGGCTGTCGGGTGTTGGGGGCTTCAGGGTTGTCTTTCCCCTCCTGTGCCAGCCTGGAAGGGACCATTTTCTGGTTTGGGGAAGAGCAGCAAAAAGCAGAGCCTAGCCTTGCCACTGAGTGGCCTGGTTCCCAGCCCAGCACACAGCTGCCTGTGGTTTGCCCCATCAGCCAGGGCGTTTCCACCCAGATTCAAAGCACAGGCTGTGTTGATGCTTGCTGCCCGGCTGTGAGCCTTGCCAGGGCAGCTCCGGCGCCAGCAGAGTGGCTCTCAGAGCCATGGAGGGAACCAAACAAGGTTGAAGCTGCTCCCCTCGGTGTGCCTCTGCTGCTGCATGGGTGCTGGGTAGACTAGGCACAAGTGTGGGCAGAAGCATAGGCAGGGGTGGCAGGGCTGTTTCAATGCTATCTTGCTGGTGGTAGTGCTGGGGGTGGCATTCAGGCAGGCTCCCCTGAGAGCTACAGGAGGGCTTGGTTTGTGATGTCCCTGTAGCCACCTCCACTGGATTTAAAGGGGAGCTGGAGGGTTATTGGCTCCAGCTGCATTTGAACCAAGCTATGTTGAGGGGACAGGCAGCTGGGGCAGCATTATAGTGAGGCCTGGCTGTGGCCACTAGCTGATGGCGACATGCTCTGGCTGTGGGCCATGCCAGGATGCAGCACTGGTGGGTCAGAGTGGGGGAGTGCAGAGAACTGGTGGCTCTCTGCCTCCCTCCCTCCCTGCCTGGCTCCATCCTGTCCCCTGCGGCTTTTATAACTGCACCACTGCCATGTGTCCTGCACAAGCCCACGCTGCTGTGGGGGGACATAGGGCTTTCCCAGAAGAGGCCCAGAGCAGCTCTCTCTGCACACCATCTGCTTGCTGAGGAAGAGCCTCTGGGGGGGCTGCCAAGAGGAGCCCATGTGAGTACGTGGGCTTGGGGCAGGATGGAGATGGAGGGCTGTGCTGCTGAGCTGTTAGAGCTAGCACTGCAGAGCCTGCCTCCTGCACTGTTCCCCTGCTAGAACAGGGGTGGCCCTGGTACATGGACCTGTAGAAGCAGGTAAATTTTAAATTGGGTACAATGATCCATTTGGGAGTTAAAGTAGGCTGGCTTGTCTATGCTGCTCTGTGACACCAAATACTTCAACCCAAAGAGTTAATGCACTGCATTCTTCCCAGAAAGCAGGGTACCGTCAGGTCTTCTTCACCCACAGGTGACCAGCTGGTGGAGTTGAGCTGGGTGGCTGCCAGATGGGACTCATCCATCAGCAGGGTTCAAGACTTGGAATTTGGGGAATCCACCCTGGGGCAGACAGGGTTACTGACACGACAGGGTAAACTCATCAGCTGGTAATACTTCTGCAGCTGGTGCTGGGTTGTGCTGCAGGGCCTCACAGTCCAGAAGAGCTCCAGGAGATCAAAGCTGGTGCCGGTGAGATTCCTATCAACCCTTATTCACCTGGCTCCAGGCAGGTCCCAACCCTTCTGCTTTCTGAAGTAACAGCTTAAGCACGCATGACCCCATAGCTGGCACTAGGCTGCATGCATCCGATAATCCTCTGGGCCCCAGCCGCAGCAGGTGGCCAGCTCTAATCATGCAGGCTTAATGCTCTCCTTGCTTTGCAGGTCTAATATGATGACTTGCTGCCAGGTGGTTGCTCTTCTCTTCCCAGTGCTGCAGCTGGTGACCTGGTTCCCACTCTTGTTCCCTGGTCCACGCTCCAACTAGTCAAAGTGTGGTTCTTGTCACAGCCCATCCCGGAGCTGACAACATGCTGTGACGACACCTGTGCCTGGTAGGATGCTGCCCTGGTCTCTCAGGACTTCCAGGAGCACCTCTTCTAGGAGACGGTGTATTCCAACAGCACCTGCACTCTCACCTTGGTGGAAGTGAGCCCCCTTGTGAGTGGAGAGAGTGGAGGTGGCATGTGGGACACAAGAAGCAGATCTATGGCACAGGCGGGTGGTTTTCCATCAGTGGGAACCATTTCCTGATGAACTACCTTTTCTCTGCCCCCATCAAGATCTCCATGGGCATGCTGGTGTCTGAGCAGCGCATCCTCACTGCTGCCCACTGCATTCACAACAGCAAAGACTATGTGAAGGGGGCCAAGAAGATCAAGGTGGGTTTCCTGATGACAGTGCAGAGCACTGGCAACAGGATAGGAACAGACGAGGAGGCTAATGATGCACTGGATCCAGGGCCCCAACTCAGTGAGCATGGACTACAATGACACCCTTTTGGAGCTGTGCAGGCCACACTGATAGCACATGAAACTGATGGCAGCTCTGGTAGCAGAGGAGATGGCTGGGAAGAGGATT